CAGGAGTGCTGCAGGCACTGACAAGTGCTGCAGTGAATCCTGGCAGCCTCAGGGATTCCAGCGTGAGCCCCTGGGGGGGAGAGAGGCTTTGGAAAAGGGGGGGATGCTGAGGGGTTGTGGAGCCCCTTGTGTGTGTGTGAAACCCTCACAGCACAGCTCCTTGGGGAGGTAACTCAGCCTGATGGAAAGATCTGTGAATCCCAGTGTGGGTGTCCCCTGCTCTGCTCCCAGCTCCTGCCAGGCTCAGGGGACACTTTGTGGAGAAGCTGGGCTGGTTCAGGAAGCCTCAGCACAGAGATGCTCCCAGGAGCTGAGCGAGGCCATTGGGATGTCCCTGCCCAGTGTGGGATGGCTCTGTGGGATTTGGGGTTGGGGCAGATGTGGCAGTTCCAGCTCTTGTGTCTCCCCAGATGGTGAATGTGTACCGGGAACACCAGCACTCCTGTTTCCTCTACCTGGGCAGCATCCTGGTGGATGAGTACGGCATGGAGGAGGGCTGCCGGCAGGGCCTGCTCGACATGCTGCAGGTGGGGCATTGCTCATTGGGAAATCCCTCTGAGCCCACTGAGTCCAGCCAGTCTTCCCTCATATCCAGTTTATATAGATCCCAAAGGGTTTGGGTGGGAATCCCTTCCMAGGGCAGGGACACCTTGCACTGTSCCAGGTTGTGCTGAGCCTCCTCCTTGGGCACTGCCAGGGACGGGCAGCCCTGGCCTGTTCCACGCAGGGAGGGGCAGTGTGAGGAGTGGTCCCAYATAGCTGCTGATGGATCCCCGTTCTCCCCAGGCTCTCTGCATCCCCACCTTCCAGCTCCTCGAGCAACCCAACGGCCTCCAGAACCACCCAGACACCGTGGACGACCTTTTCCGCCTGGCATCCAGGTGCCACCACGCTCCTGCCACCTCCTGCCGCAGGACACCCGGCCCTGTCCCCTCCTGGAGGGTCCCCAGGGGAGCAGGGGGAGGCAGGACCTGCCCCTGACATCCGAGTGTCTCCCCGGGCAGGTTTATCCAGCGCAGCCCCGTCACCCTCCTGCGCAGCCAGGTGATGATCCCCATCCTGCAGTGGGCCATTGCTGCCACCACCCTGGACCACCGGGACGCCAACTGCAGCGTGATGAAATTCCTGCGGGATCTGATCCACACCGGGCTGGCCAACGACGTGAGTGACCCG